CATCAATTTAGGGCAGGGCTTTGGAAACAATCAACATTTTCTGAACAAGCTGAAAAACAAACCGAAACTTTTTGGTTAATCAAAAAGCTTTGTTGACAAGCATGATTTTTTACAAAATTCTACAATTGCTGGAACGGTCAATGGCTTGTGTTGAATAACAAAACAGTTTTACGACTAATACAACATGTTTCTGCAAACGACGAAAATATTCATTAAACAAATTTAATTTTTTCATGAAAGTCCCAGAATTTGAGGAACCAATATCAAGATAATTTGTAGAAGTTTCAAGAATTTTGTCTGTGGAAAAATCAAGAAATCTTACGAACAAACCAACAGTTTTCAAACACAATACACAAAACTATGTACACGTGCTTCAGAAGATCGGACAATCTGGATCTCCCCTGCCCCTCCCTCCCTTCTGCTCTCCTTTCCACGACCCAACAAACCTTTTTTCATTACATACGGCCACCCCAAAAGTGTATACACTTTTGGGTGGGCCACACCAAAAGTGTATACACTTTTGGGTGTGGTTGGGGGCCCCTGGGTGTAAATTTACTCCCCCAAACCCCCAATTTGGGGGAGTAAATTAATTTACACCCCCGTTTGGGTGTAAATTGGTCCGGGGTGTAAATTTACACCCATTGGATCTATCAGGTAGCATCTTGACCCAATGGGTAGGTGTCACCACCAGCGATCACGGTGTAGTCAATGGAAAGTCCAGACGTCATGGATGTGACGATTTCAGCGATCTCCTCGTCCTTCCGCGGTGGCGTTCTCTTGCGGGGAGAGTCAGCAGTGCTGAGCTCGATGTAAGAAACTTTTGTCACTCGTGAGCACTAAAAGCCTTCGGTCGGAACACAGTTTTCTACAAGTGCACTGCATAACGGAGCGAAGTAAAATGCATGATAAAACAAGTGGAAAATACAACACATGTGAATACCAAAATCGTTCGTACCCCGCCTCAGGATGTTCCTGGGATCCAGGGACATACTGTGCTGAACGATCTTTCAAAGACGAAACAACAGCTTGCACTACGTTCTGCAATTCGCTCCAGTGCACTTCGGGATATGTCTATGACAATCCTTTGACTAGCGTTTGGGCTCGATTTAGCCAGGCTCAAGGCTTCTACGAGTGTATATACAAACTAGTTTCCGGTACACTGTACAATAACGTGCTACGCGCATTGCATCGAAAGGCTTGGGCAGCCGATGATGTAATGCAATGCTTGACTTACCCAAGCGGAGGCATTCAAGTGGGTCGTCATGCGACGGTCGTAGTCGCCCGATCAAGATGTGACCAATCCTTCAGATGGCCACGTGCTCACAAAAGGATTTGTGATGGCCTATTGCCTATTGCCAGCGGAGGGTCAACACCACTCCACGCGGTTTTGAGGCCGCTCCACGGCCATCGATGTTGCGTCACGAATGATTCAGGGATGCCAAAATGGCATATCATGATTTGCAGCTCAAGATCTTTTCAAGGATGTCAGACAACCGTCGTCAAGCGCTCGCAGCCTATGTACAACTCATCTGTCAATGAGGCGCTCCCGGAGGCTCGCAACATTGACTATGTACAGCTGTCCACTGCAGCGCATCATGAGCATCCAAGCTTGCATCAGCATCAAAAGTCAAGGCTTGCAAATGCGGCATGCACGATAGCCGCGCTCGACTGCAACTGCACGCGACACCTCGGTGACGCCTTGCGACTGGTTCAATTTCCCACATGTAGCCTTGTGATAAGCGTAGCCCTGACTAGTCGAGATCCACACGCCATCGGTGTTCCTGGACTGTGGGGTCCTGCGCCTTGGCGTGCTCGCGGGATGGCGGGATCTCCTCGGTGACCTCACTGCTGGACCGCCTCACTCACATGATCCTTTGACGATCCTGGCATGCTGGCCTGTGCCTCATGTGCACCAGGACTCTGGGCTCGCTCATCGTCATCATGACACACTGGCTTGCTAGCCGTCTTGGGGCGCGCTCCACGCACCTGCATCACATGCACAGCTGCTTTGGATTTCGGCTCTGCATTCGGCTCAACGCGGGCCGTCTTGACATCAACTGCAACTCCGGTTCCAATGCGCACCTGAACGGATGCTTCAGGAGCATCTGCGACCTTACGGCCGCAACACGTAAATGCGCACATCAAGAATGCAGTGATTGCAACACACTGGCAAACCGCAACACATGTTGAAGGGTATGCTTCATACACCGGCGGATGCGTAGCCGACGATCTGCACTCAGGATTCAAGAAAGGCTCCAAGAAAACTCAAAGTCGCGTCGTCATCATTGGCATCGTTGTCATCCTCCGCACCCAAACTGCCTGTCGCCTGCATGGCAATCAAGATAACGCTGAGGATGCGGGCGGTGTTGGCTGTGGCATCGGCTTTCGCAATCTTGGACAGATCCTTGCACACATTGCGAATGGCCTGGACATTGTTTTCGGCATTCAAGATTTCCTCACCGACCTTTGCATAGCCATTCCGGGAATCTCTAAACTTTTTTTCCACACTCCTGAGCAACAAAAGCCTTCGGTCGTAACAAAGTTCGCAAGTGCACAACTAAAGGAGCGAAAATAAAACGCATGATAAAGCAAGTATAAAACCATGCTCACGAATACCGGAAAAGCGTTCGTACCCCGCCTCAGGCTGTTCCATCGGCACATGGGCAGACTGTTCGTGAACGATTCCGAAAGTATGAAACAACAGCTTGTACGACGCTTTAAACACGCTCCAGTGCACTTGTTTTCACTAGCGTATTGGGCTTGATTTAGCCGGCTCAAGGCTTTGCTCGGATGCTACGCAACTACGTGTAGACTGTACACTACACTGCCTACGGAGTTGTATCCACGACCTTAAGCCGAGGACACAACTGCATGCTTGACTGGCGCAAGCGGACGCCCTCGCAAGTTGTCAAGAGAAGGCGGATTCATGATGGATCATGCGCTCTCGCGCCCAGTCGCAAAAGTCGGTGACGGCCTAGTCACCGCCAATGGGTGCCAAACGCACCTCAGCAGCTGAGAGCCGCTCCACGGCTCAAAGAAATGTGGCATCATTCGGATTGGCAGCAAAATGCTGCACACCATTGTTCAAGTGATTGCAAGCCGTTCATACCGTACCTTGTCTAAGAAGCTATGTACAGGATCCAACAGCAGCCTGTGAATCAGTTGCGCCGTGGCACAATTGACTGACTATGTACATGGCATCCAATGTGCCTCATGAGCATTATAAAGCAAGATTCAACCGCACGGCACGGCATCACAAGAAGTTTTGCCACACTCTTTCAAGGTTTGCAAATCCTGCATGCACGGTAGCCTTTCTCGATAGCACGCTGTCGACTGATCTCAGTCACACCTGCACCCTGATTAAGCTTGCCGCACGTGGCCTTATGGAATGCATAACCTTGGCTCGTTGACACCCAAACACCATCTGCTGTCTGCTGCGGCGGATTCTTTCTTCTGGGTTTCGGCCTTGCATTTGGGATGTCAAGGTCATTGGCTGACCGTTCTGTCTGTTCACTCCCGGATCGACTCACACTCACACGCACATCTCGCGCTGCTCCAAGCGGCATGCGAACATGCAGTTTCTCTGGTCTCCTTGCAGATTAAGATATCCTCAGATACGAGAGGAATAGAATATGTAGAAAGATGTATATGGAAAATTTTTCAATCTCCAATCACAGGAATAATCTGTCCAGCAATCTATATCATATTGCAAAAGAGGAATGGCTTCACTCGGACAGGACTTCTTTTTGTTCTCCGTTGCAACGGGGGTTCTGCTACCGGGTTGATGGCGAGAGTGGGCGAGCACAACCCCTCCGAAGTAAGGCAAGAGCAGCCAAACTGATCAACGGCTAATGCAGCCGAACAGAGCAGCCATCTTCCCCCAGTCTCACAAAAACCGTATTGAAACTATGTCGGGCGGGTGGGTGGTCGAAAAATTTTTGGCAAACTCAGCCTTGAACACACCGCCGGGTGACATGATTCAAAATCGCACAAGCATCTACCGGAGCATCATGTGGGAAATCGTGATGCAAAATACAGCATCAAAAGAAAAAGCGATGCGAAAAACAGCATCAAACCACATGAGAAACGGAATCTGTTGAAGATCACGAAAAGCTAAAACTGTGGTTAAAACAAAAGTCGGAGGAAAACTGCAAGTGCGCTTCGCCTTTGGCTTCGCTAGACCAGGATAAACATAACTGCGCTCCGCTCCGTGGGACGTTTCTCTGGTCTCCTTGCAGATTAAGATATCCTCAGATACGAGAGGAATAGAATATGTAGAATTTTTGCTGTAGAAAAACTCAAAACCCAAATTCAAGCGAATATAAGTTGCACTCACTCCGTAAGTATAAAAGTCAATCAACTCATATCGTATCGCATCACTCGGACCCTTCTTTTCTTTCAGGGGGCGCACCGGGTTGCCCGGCCTTAGGCCGCGGGCTAGGCGCACTGCCAACATGCCGTTCGCACGTTGGGCCAACGTAGAGCACAGCCTACGGAGTGTTGCACAACTGGAATCGCAAGATCGGCCCCAAGCGATCTGAAGTCTCGACGGGTGTGGCGGGAGGGTAGTCGAGACCCATCTCCCACTCTTGAGCAGCAATGTAACACGACGTGGACATTTCACATGCTCTTCAAAGAAATTTCTTCTCTCAAGAAATCACTGCTCGAAAATACATTGCTTAAAGTGGGAGAGGCAGCACACGGGTTAGGGCATTAAGGTTTTTGAGTTTTCTTCGCTCGCCGCCACGGCGGCTCGTCACGAACGCAAAAAGGTACTAGCTGTCGTCGCAGGCTAGACAGCAAAGGTACTTTTTGCTGTAGAAAAACTCAAAACCCAAATTCAAGCGAATATAAGTTGCACTCACTCCGTAAGTATAAAAGTCAATCAACTCATATCGTATCGCATCACTCGGACCCTTCTTTTCTTTCAGGGGGCGCACCGGGTTGCCCGGCCTCCCCAGAAAGTAGCAACACGGTACGTTCCCACTCAAGACCAGAGATTACAAGTCGACCAGCGGGATGCCCGAGATGGGGCATGAGCACTTAACTCGTAATGCACCCGAATCAACAAGTGCTCTGAACTCACCGCGTGACGGGTCGTCTGAAGGATTGGATGCGGAAGGGACCCTTGTCCAGTATGTCCACGATGGACCATGTTTCTCACAGCATTCCCATGTGAGAAGCAGCTCTCGAAAGTGATCACTGTTAGACGTTCCTCGCACAAAGCTGAGAAGGACAGCGTCGTTGTCAACGAAGAAAAGGCAATACTGTCCAGACATGTACTGGTGGAAAGCCTTGCGTGCCAGGGCGACAGCGTACGCCTCAACGGGTCCGATAATATGCTTCAGATGCTGCCTCCATCGATCTGCCAAGGCACAAGGAACTTCACAAGAAAAGAATCGGGGCCGCGCATCAGAAGGAGAGTAAAGAATACCTCCAACGGTGTTGCCAGACTGTTCACTTGCTCCGTCCGTGAAGATCAAAACAGGCTTAGGGGCAACCACACAAGGGACTACCCTAGGGGAACCGAAAGAGAGGCGATCAATGAGAAACTCGAAAGCCTCGATCTCGCGGGGACCCAGAACAAACCGGGAGGCGTGGCGTGTGGAAGCGGCTCTCAGCTCCGCCAATGCGAGCTTTCCGGTTCTCCCCATGACTTGCGCATCGGAGAACTGGACACGTCCTGCAACCCTGGCAAAAGTACGCATCTTGATGCAACCTTCACTGATGCATTCACGGATGGCATCACACACCTCACTGGATCGGCCTTCCTTGTTCCTAATCCGAATGACACCTTCCCTGGCTCCTTTCAAGTCAATCTCGACCCCAAGCATGGAGGCGACGTCTGCAAATGGGTTCAGTTTGTCAAGGGATGCGGAAAAACCAAGCACTGAGGACAACACAAGCAAGGTGTCCATGGTGGAACCTGACAGACAGCACGGGCTCATCACTGGATAATCGTCAACGAAGTTGGCCCAGAACAGGAAGACTTCCAAACCTATCCGCCACAGCAACCTAGACAACCTGTTGAAGTGGAGCACGGACGATGTGCTTCCAAAAGGCAGAGCCTTACCCTCAAACAATCCCAAGTCGCCATTATCCGGATTGAGAAGGGCAACGACGGAGAAGGCACGATGGCTCGGGTTCAACGCAAATTGGCGATAAGCATTCTTCAAATCAAAGGTGCACAGCTCAGGACACCACGACGAACCCGCCCAAGCAGGGTGCACTCGACCAACCAACGGTGGTCCGCTGGCCATGTCCAGAAAGAATTGATGCTCCGTCGTGTGAGCTCGGATCCAAAAGCGACATATTGCAATGATCTCGTCAAGTGCCCTTAGATCTAGCTTATCCCCATAAGAAAAAGAACCATTAACTAAGTTCTCGGAGTAGTCGTCAATCGGTCTCAACTTGCGCTTGCCTCCAGAAGATTGAATCACGGCGAACCGGCGCACAGGGGCCCATGCGTCGCCGTACCTTCTCGTCAGCTCTTCTTCGGTAAGTGGTCCCTCCAAGAACCCTTCGGCAACCTCAGTCAAAGTCTTATCCCACAGTTCCGAGGAATGCTCATTCAAACCCTCGGACAAAACCTTACCCAAAAGCGCCGGACGAATGTACTTACAGGCCTTAGTAAACTCGTCAGCCGTCCTCTCCTGGGGACGAGGCTCCTTTCTAAAGACACCAGTGGGCTTCTGCCAGCCAACCAAACCAAAACCCTTACAAGTATCCTCAAACCATCCATCGTCGGGCCACTTCAAGTCATCAGCAATGCGTTTGAGCAAGAGAAGCCTTTTTGATCCTAACACAGACCTCACACCAGGTTCGAGGTCCTCCTTAAGTCGGGACTCTGGTTCCTCCAATTCCCTGGCCCATTCTAACCACTTGTTGAGAGTGGCCACACGTTGTCTACCAACCCACTCAGGGCCCTTCACCAAGGCCTCATGAAGCTTTCGTTTCACTTCGTCGGGGATGACAGCAAACGTCTCGAAGGGATGCCGTAATCCTTTGGCCTCCTCCAGAAACTCATCCGGTGTTGCATACACACCAACACTAAGTTCGAAGCCACCCGACTCCCCCGTCTCCTCAGTGGCGAGAAGTTTGGAGCCTGCGGGGATGTCACCGACGGCGTGCTGCAAGCAATTTTTATGATCCACAGGCGGAATCTGTGGCACACGACATCTGCAAACGCGACCAAATTCTCTGATGAGGCTCGCACCAAGTTTACCCCGACGCTGCTGTGTGACAGGCGGAGGGCTGGACTGCAGCGGAGACAAAAGGGGGTCAACGCCACAGTGTTTAGCCACGGCGTGGGCAACCTGCTGACAGAAAAGCCTGGGATGAGTATCAACACCGCCAGTCACAGGCGTGTGACTATGATTACCATGGCACACTTGTTGTAAACACTTGAGTGCACTACAAGACGTTAGCAGTTGCCTCCGCAAGCGATGCGGAGAATCGAAGGCACACAAATCGTACACCACGGTAGTGGTGTTGGTGAGCTGGCGCACAGCAGGCATATGCCACAGGAAGCTGGACTGCGGATGCTCAATGGACCAAGCGATGCCCATTTGTTGAACTCGTTTTAAGAAGGTGATGACATGTTCCAACAAGGAGTCGGCCAATGCGAGCCTTTGAACCTGAGAGGCGTCGGCGCCTCCTACAGGAACTACAGATCCATGGGACAGTCGTCGGAGGCCCTGCTTGGGTCCATAGGTGGCATACGGCAGATCAATGTGCACGTACCGAACATGATAGTTGTCAAGCACATGCGAAAGATACTGCCACGAGCTCGGCAAGGCAAGATCCAGTGAGCACAACTTGGCCAACGGAAGCCGGTGACTTCCCCTATCTATGGGCATGACCTCAAAGCCAATCTGGTGAAAGGCTCGGGACAAAGAGCCTGCACGGGCAAACAGCTCGAGCACAATACCAGGCTGGTCAACCGGCGTGGCCTGAACCTGACCAGTAGACACTACGGAATCTTCTACGGGGGCTAAACCCGACTCTGAGGAAGCTAGAGGCGGGGAAGTCACTGGTTGTGCGAGGCCGAGTGGTTTTGGAAACTCATCAGTAGCACACCCCCCGGTAACGACCGGCGCTTCATAGCACACCGGAGGTGACTGTTCGGCATCAAGAATGTCGGCTTGCATCGGGAGCTGGAATTCCAAATCGGTCAGTGTAGCACTATCAGTCTCACTAAGGTGATCAATGGCGGAGACTGAAAAAGCAACTAACACCACTCTATCACCCGACCAATTCCTAGTGGCGTGAGTCAAACGTCGAGCGGTGAAGACGGCATGACTCCCATCCAAGCTGAGTTCGACTCCACTGCGTAGTTCGCCATCAACATCGCACCAAGCTTGGCCGCCTGGTCTCTCAACCCACACCTGTCCCTGATCGAAGTCAGACAGTGCACACACAGCATTGGGCAAAGAAGAATTATGCGCATCCACATGAGGTGTGGTTTGAACGTTGCGAAAGAATGCTAAGCTCGTGAACTTTAAGCTGGGCAGCTGCTGTCGCACAAAGCGCGCGGCCAACTTTGTCACATTCGGGAAGAGCAAGACATTACGTCGCAGCCCAACCTTGACTCTGCAATAGGCACCTGTCGAGAAGGAGACCCCTTGTGATGGGTCACCTCGGACGGAAGCCTCTGTGGGGAGTGATTGGAAGATCTCAAGTAAATCAGTGGGGGAAACAACACCAGCATTGTTCAGCAGGGTCAGAGCTCGATCCTCGACCGAACCCTTGAATTCGTGATCAAGACTTGCGCTACTGATCGACTCAATTTCATCGATGGCCTTGACCTCATCAGCCTGAAGATTGGTTTGAAGTGAAACGCGTGCAATCTTGGGAGCAGGAGCCTGGGCCCCTAGTCACTCGGTATTGCGCTTTGGGCAGTTGGGGTAGAAGTGCCCGGGCTGGTAACAAAAACAGCAAACGTGAGCACCCCTGAAGCACTTGTTGCCTGTCAATTGCCTAGTGCATTTGCCCCTCTGAGCATCAAAGCAAATGGGCACTCCTTTCGGGGTGTTTGCGTGCCCGTCCTTTAGGTCCTCTGGCATGGTCACCTCGCGGCGTGACGGTTGCTTACCCTTACCAGAACCTTTGCCCCGACCTTTACCACGGCCATACGGAGTGGGTCTCTCAAAGGGAATCTTAGCGGGAGGAGGCGACGCGAGAGGAGCGAGCAAATGAGACACCTCGGTCAAATCGGCGCAACGCATCCACGCCTCGTCCAATGGACGACCGGTCTCCGTGACTTGCACTCCACTGCGACACTCATTAGCAGCGGTGACAAACAATTGCTTATCGGCTTGAAGCAGCTGCTGTATGCTGACTCGGGTGTATCCCGAAGGCACCTCACGATATCTGGAGTGCAACAGGCGCTCAGCCCATTTCTCATGTTCTTTGAAACCTAACAATCCGGCCTGTTCCATCGCGAGTCCTCGCCGAGTGAGGGCGAATTTCAGTAACAAGTCAGTGCTCAAGTCGGCCTCACCTCGAATGTCGGCGTTCTTGATGTGAACATTACCGCTATTGTCAACTGTGAGGGTACGATCCTCCTTGTCCCGGGAATTCCGAGTCTCATCGTCCTTGCTCATGCACCAACTCAGCGGAAGATATGTAAGGCGATTGTTTTCATACATTTGACAACACTTGTCCACTGACCTGTCACTCGGTTCATTAGGCCCGGCAATAGTCAAACCTGGATACCGCACCACTTGACGAGCCAAACGATCTGCTCGGTCGGGAGCGGCAAGGCTCCTCGCTGGTGCATCGGTGGTGCGCTCAACCTGAGATTTAAGCTCGGCCGCGACCAAAGCAAAGGCCTCAGAGTGCAATCGGCGCAGCACCGAAAGCTCCCCCACGGTAGCATCCCTCTTCAACAAGTCCTTTATGGAAGTCACAAAAGGACCCTCATCACTCTGACCCGGAATGAAGCTGCTCACATACGCAAATTTGGCAAGAGTGTTGACGCCACCATCGACAAGCAGCTGAAGCACCTCAGCTTTCAAGCCGAGTTTCGCAGCCCGGGAGCTAAAATTGGCCTCACTCTCAGTAATACTCATGGTTCCAGCTTGAGCCGACCCGACTCTCGCGAACCCATGTGGTCCCCATCGTTGTTGATCACAACGATTTGCAAACAACTCTCTACCGACACTCACACATCGCAACGTCGCTCAAGAATTGTTTCACCTCCAACTCGTGTCGCGTCACCTTCAAAATCGCGATGCCACTGACATCCCATCACCGTGACACGCAGGGCCCATGGGCACACCGCACCGATGTGAAGTGTACAATCCTTGGCGCTGGCACGGTACACTGTTGCAACAACATGTGGACAAAAAGCACGGGGCCGACACGGCACACCGTGATCACGCCAGGACCGTCCCTTTCACATCATCAATGTTCTGTCGTGGCGGGGTCTCGCTGACACACCGTTGACCCGACATGTGATACGACTCGGGGCAAAATGCACACCGATGACAGTCTGACGCGGGGATAGCACACCGGTCATGACCTCGGTCGGGGCCGCAACGGCACACCGTCCTCAGTATCCCTCTGTGTCACGCTCGCCAAACACAAATCTCAGCTCTGATCCCCTCTAACCTGCTCTCCAACAGCAGGCTCGACACTGGCATCTGTTTTGACAGAGTTGAAACACCTGGCACACACAGGGTACAGAAACGATGGAACAGCTGCCACCTTCTCGTAGTTCTTCGTGCATGTCCTGCCGCAAGATAGAGAAGTTCCGCCCTCGTCGGCAATCAAGTGCAGCATGCGTGAAGACCGATTGCGAACCAAGTGCTCTGCCTTCAACTCGCGCTTAGGCACTTCCTCACACCAACCATCCACGACCCCGTCCAGCGCTCGCTCGAGCTCCTGACAATCGGTCTCGGCATCCTCTTCATCAAGAGACGCCTCTGAGGAAGCTTCGTAGTCGTAGCTGGCGTTGGGGTCGTCCTTCGTGGGGAAGTACCCGCTCCGGGTACTGTCCGGAACAAAAGTCCCTGACCTAATGGCCGCGAGGACTTTCTCGAGCACCCTGACCGATGCTGATACGGCATCGCGGCTGTATACTTGGGCGCTGCGGTCGCCCGGAGCCGTGTGATACCCCAACACTCTCTGATCATAGCTGTCGATGCCGAATCTGGCACACCAAGATAGACAAGTCGCTTTACATGAGTGCGTTCCAATAGGGGAACACTGAGCCTCAGAAAATCCGCACTTGCGGAGCACGTTTCTCAACCATCCAGCAGCGACCGAAGCACTCGGAGGGTGACTAGCCCAGTGTCCGGTGGTCAAAATCGCAGGCAGGACGGGCAGCCCCTCTCCAACAGGGACGTTCAATTCCTTTCTCAGCATGGACCACGCCTGGAACCAATCTTCGCCAGCGATACCCTTGCGTGGACACACCATCGGCAGCAGCTGAGTTTTCCTCTCAGTGGTGTAAGATGTCTTGCTGCGTGCGATGTCGGCCTGAAGGTAGCCTCCAAGCCCAGACGGGTCGACCTGCGGCTTGTCCTCGCTGACATTGTACATGTTCTGTGTATCAGAATACCTGGCCCTCATAAAAATCGAGAGCAAGAAGAATCCAGCTATGAACCGATCAATGCGATCCCCATCGGGGGAAACTACAAACCTCTCAAGTCGCTGTACCATCTCAGTCGACAACGGTGGGCGCTGGACCCTCTTCCGCTTTGTCAAGTAGCATGCCCTGGCCACACCACTCAATCTCATGCTAGCCATCGCCTCCTGAGCGCTCTCCGCTCCAAGAATGAAGAAACAAAAGGTCACCGCGCTCAGGAAGCTTTTGAGGAAACTCGGCGAGCATGTATGTTCGCACTCACAAGCAAACTCGTACATGTCATCCTCCTTGAATGGAAATGCCAAGACTGCATGCCTATCAGCCCATGCCACGTATCGTATGAGCGGATCAGCCCGACTGTGCAGAGTTCCAACTGCCTTGCCTGCGAACACATGTCGCAGCGACCTTGACACTTGGACCCCGACAGGTGCTAGTGACGTGACCTTCCGACCCACATCGAAAGACTGAGGGCTCCTGAGTACAAGAGCAGTCCACTTCCGAACGGCCGCCACCAGTCTCTTCTCGGTCTGGTTCTCCCAAGAAATATCATGACGTACACGAGAGAATCGATGTGCAAAAGAGACAGCCGGCTGTTTGGGAACCGGAACAGAAATGTTGCTGCTCACAGGAATGAGGGGTAGTGGCCCCCTTCCCAAAGGAACACTGAAATCAAGCAAGCTATTTCGAAATTCAGGTGTCTCCCAAGGCATCCTAAAAGCCGAGCCCTGAGAAGTTCGCAAACATGTGCTGAGATGAGCATCGTAAGCAGAGTCGCTGGCCGTCCTCTGCCTCTTTGCACTTTCTTCGGATGCCATCCTTCAAGTGCTGCAGGCCACCGCTCGCCCCCAAAACTCGGCCCAAGCACTAACGCAATGGTTTTGCCTCGGGCTGCGAATCAAGAGCAGGTTGGGCACAGAAGAAGCTAGCACGGATTTGCCAGCTTGCGTGAAGAATTTGCAGGCGCTCAACAGAAGAAAGGCAGGCCCAAATCAAGCTGGCAAGATCTCTCAGCTGAATTGTCCTGGCCAAAGCGGCCTGCATGGCTGGGCCCACCTCTAGTCGAGACCCATCTCCCACTCTTGAGCAGCAATGTAACACGACGTGGACATTTCACATGCTCTTCAAAGAAATTTCTTCTCTCAAGAAATCACTGCTCGAAAATACATTGCTTAAAGTGGGAGAGGCAGCACACGGGTTAGGGCATTAAGGTTTTTGAGTTTTCTTCGCTCGCCGCCACGGCGGCTCGTCACGAACGCAAAAAGGTACTAGCTGTCGTCGCAGGCTAGACAGCAAAGGTACAGATGTATATGGAAAATTTTTCAATCTCCAATCACAGGAATAATCTGTCCAGCAATCTATATCATATTGCAAAAGAGGAATGGCTTCACTCGGACAGGACTTCTTTTTGTTCTCCGTTGCAACGGGGGTTCTGCTACCGGGTTGATGGCGAGAGTGGGCGAGCACAACCCCTCCGAAGTAAGGCAAGAGCAGCCAAACTGATCAACGGCTAATGCAGCCGAACAGAGCAGCCATCTTCCCCCGGCCCCGCGATCGGAGGATGCATCAATGATCACTGCAGCACTTCCTGTGCCCAATCGGCTTCCAGCCTCGCCGACGAAAGGATTGCCTGGGCCAGCTTCGGCTCGTAATGGGGAGCACGAATGAAGTCCATCATAGTATCGGTGGCTGCCACATCACCCTTGTTTATGGCCTGAAACCGCTCGCAAGCCTCGGCAAACTGTCCCCGCGACGGAAGGTCCGCCGGGTTACTCTTTGAGGGGACCCGCTCAAACCACATAAGCGCCTCCATGGAACTCTCCATTAAGGCCCCCAGGGAGATGAGGCGCATCAGAGAGGCTGAGGGCGAGTATCGCTTCACGAATCCATAAAGGCAGGCATTGTTGTCAATCCAAGCCAGGACCGAGCGACCTTTCAAGAGGCCGCAAATCCCGAACAGGGTTATGGCCAGAGCGTAGGCCTCAACCTGGCAAATCACTTGGGCCCCAGCCTCCTTGCCCCAGTGATCCATCAGCGGTTTGCAAACTTCTCCCCCGAAAACCCATCGGGAACCTGTGTAAGCATCAACAAGAACCGCGCCCCAGGTTCCTCGCCCTTTCTCGAAGGCCCCATCCGTGTAGAGCACAATCGGTGGCAGGATTGTGGCCGGGCATCGCTTTGGCCTGCACTGCGCGATGACATCCAGAGCTAACTCACAAGCTTGCCGAAGTTCGGGCGTGTTGCCCTGGAAAGGTCCTGACAAAGCCCGTGTCAGCATTCGAGAAGTAGGCTTCAGCTCGAAGCCCATAATCAGTCCTCCGGCGAAGTTAATCAAGCCATGAAGCGAAGCCACGTCACTTCTCGTCACGGCTCCACCCTGGGCCACTGTCCGGAGGAGTGCTGCAATTTTCTCGAGTCGTCCAGCTTTGTTCTCAACCTTGAGAGTGCCTCCCCATATCTCGTCAAGGCCCAAAGAAACACCCAAGGAGACTACCTTGTTGTCAAAAGGCACAAACTTCCGCCCAGACTTCGCGTAGGTCCACCCTAGCAGGTCCAGCAGCCTCATCAGGACTTTGTCCAGTAAGAAAGCAGCTGGGCGAAATTCATATACAGTGTAGTCGTCGTAAAAGTCGGTCGCGATTGCAGCGAACTTGACAACCATTATGTGAAGAATCGCAAGTGCTACTTTATTGAACCCATACACGCTTGCAGCAGCTCCAAAAGGCAGGCTCTGGGCTATGTAAAATTCCCACTTGCCTTGTGGGTCGGGGAAGCCAAGGACAGCGTGCTCCCGCGTAGAAGGATGGATGCTCACCTGGCGATAGGCCTTACTCAAGTCCAGCGTCTTACCGAGCAGAGCGGGCTGGCGGAGCATCTCAGGATCCCAGTCTCCCTCGAGCACGGTGCCATCAGACAAGGGGACCCGGACCTTGGAGCGATCCTGCAGCACACGGGAAAGGAACCTCAGGAGGCCGACCGCGTAATCCGTATCCTGAAGCTCTAGGAAAGACGAGGAACCAAAGGCCCTGTTAACCGCCGACATTTTAAAGTCGTCAATTATCCTTATCTTGGCGTCTTCGCCCTGCCTCAACAGGAAACGAGGCGAGAGCGACCAAGCATCGGTCTTCAAGATGTCGCTGACTTCCTGCTCCGAGTGGTATGGACCCGTAAGGAAACCCGCTGCCAGTTCCTCGGAAGTCTCATCTTTCATCGCCTTGTAATCCTGCTCGGAAGTAAGCCCTTTCATCTTTTGCAATGCACGCCGCCGCAGGAGGGCCTGGGCTTTGAGCTGATCTGGCTCGAGGTCCTTAGGCTTCGGCCGCTTTGCAAACAGGGGGGACTCGGCTTCTTGACCAACCAATGGCACACCATCGGTAAGGAGGTCAACCACTGACATGTCGGGAAACCCCGTTTCCTCAAGAAGCTCGCGAAACAATGCTAGGGCCTTGCCTTTGGTGACTCGCTCCACATCCGGATGCATCTTGGCTCGAAGCTCTTTCTCAGCGGCAGACAGCACCGCCATCCGGTCATTCAAGGATTTCAGTTCAAGCATCCGCCGCTTGGACACAGCTACAGGGCCTTCCGTGAGAATGGCAAAGATGTTGCGGCGCACAGCATCGGGCAAACGAATGCTATTGTCGGCTGGGCTGGGCAGCCCACATGCACGATGCAGGTGCTCCTCCATGGAGAAATACACACCTGCCAGGTCCCCGGCCTTACCGTCTCTTTGCGTCCGGATCCTTTTGGAGGGATTCGGCTCGTCGGAAGGATTCGGCTCATCATTATCCCCCGTTCTAGAGCCGCGACTTTGGGAGAGGACTTTGTAATCAGCTCCAGTCGGCACTTGGGACAGAGGAACCCTAACCCGAAACTCAGGGATTAAGGGTGGCATATATGTGGGCTGATTGGCCGCCGCCGCTCGCACCTGAGCTCGAAGTTGGCGGCTACGCAGGAAGTCGACTTTCTGGGCCAGTAATCCTTGGCAGGCGGCGGTGGCGGAACGACAAAGTGTCTGGCACAGCTCAGCGGGCAGCGAAGCATCACTGAAGCTCCCAGCCGTAGAAGAAGGAACCCAAGGCAGATGCTTATGGGACTTATCACAGGAACGACTGAGGCCTGGGAAAGATGAAGAGTCAGCTCGGACCCGCAGCGACGTCAAGAAGGGGGCACCGAACATGCAGGTGTCAAGCTCCTGATCGGCCAAAGCGAAGAACCATTGCAGAAAACCTTGATGCCGCCTCCGCTTGACAAAGTGGGCCAGGAGGCTCCAAACCCAGCTCCGGGCTGGACCGATCAGGCTGACGAGGGCCCGAGTTTCGTAAGCTCTGAACAGCAGGTCGACCACTGCTTGCGCCAAGCTGTTGTCACGCTGCAGCAGGGAAGTGGCACTGGCGGGAAGCCCGTCCCGCCCTAGCAAGTGAGAGGCATCACGAAGGCTCAATCGTCCTTGGGAATCACGCCCCTGATTGCAAGATTTCAAGAACAGATTGAAATGCCACCAGTCGACCAAAGTGTTGCGATCAAAGTCAAGCAAAGCCTGCAGATCATCGGCTGTGGAGAGGTCAATCGGTACTCGAGGGCAGAGCTCAGGGGCACCACCTTTGTGGCCCAGGGACAAGGCATCCCATCCAGCTTGCATGGCGGCGGCCGACAAAGATCCCGCCACCGCGAGGCAATCAGCGAGCAAAGGAGGACGATGGACCGGAGAGGGGCCCTGTTTATTCAGGGAGTTGCAGCCCTCAGAGGTCCCGGACGAGTTGGAAGCACCACGTTGCCGACTTGCACCCTGATCTGGGCAAGGCGGTGATTGGGTCTCGGCGAGTATTGAAGGGACCTGAACAGATCCCTGAGGCCCGGGCGCTGTTAAGGCCGGGGCTGGCACTTTCACGGGGAGAACCTGCCTCATTTGATCCGGGACTGAAAGCTGTTGCGAGGCGCAGGCCTTTGTTGAAGCTAGCTGCGAGGCACTGGGCAACGGGAAGCCCAAATCGAGCAAGATGCGTCTGTCGGCTCCGGAGACGCGCCCTCCGGCCTGCAAGGCAAAAAGCACCAAGACGACCCGGCGCCCAGTGGCTGGCAAAGTGCAATGTTCGTACTTTCTTGCACAAAACGCAACGGGCCCGCGAGACACTTGCAAATCCACGGTCCGACCTGGCTCGCTTACCCGGACAGCTCCCCCTTGGAAAACAGTCAAAGGAATCACATAATTCGGAGAAAAGGAGTTCTGGCTGTCTCGGTGTGGCCGAGTACGCACCTGGTCAAAAAATGGCAAAACTCGTGTAAACGGCACCTTCAAGCAAAGAGGACAAACCTGTTCACCACTCGCACCGTCTGTGGAAAAAGCCTGCAAGCCTTGCGAAGGCTCACCTTAACCCGAGAGTACATCCCTGCCGAAAATGAGCGCCCCTCGGCGTCTCGGTCACACTGCTCGTGTGGCAAGGCATCAAAAAGCCTCGTCACCTGTGCAGCGGTAACGGGCGTGCTCTGAGCTAAGATTTGCTTGGCTAAAGCTTCAGGCGAATGCGGGGATAGTCAATGCTGGCATTCAGTGTGCGGCCGTTCTGCCCCACACCCCTTGAAATTGCACACATGCTTGCCAAAGCGGCACGACTTGCGCTTCTGGAACCGACAGATCCCCTTGTTGAAGAATGGGCAGATGAAACGGCCATCATCGTTTGCACGAACGCATCCCTCGGGCAATGACTCAAGCAGCTCCTTCAAGGATGGTTGCGAGGAGGCGTCAGCCTGGGCTTGGCTCTGATTCTGCTTCCCTTTGCCGCGGCCCTTGCCCTTGGTCCCCTTCTCACCTCCTTGATTGCCTTTGTTGGCTCCCTTGGGCTTCCACGGTTGGCCCTGGTTCTCGGCAGGCTTGGGGAGGTGTGTCAAGCAGGACATCACGAACTGATTGTTTGCGGCCGCGGCTATGTGCTTGTCAAGAGGAGCAGGGGCTCCGACTCCGATGACGATGTCGCCTCGGCTCTCCTGGGCCACGACCTGCCAAAGCTTCTGGTCAGCTGCGAGAAGCTGCTGAACGGTAGTGTAGCGATAGCCCGCGGGAGGCACATCAAGCAGAGCCTGGAACATGCGGTTGTGCCAAGCTTCCATTGCGGTGAATGAAGCAAGCCCTACCTGGTCGAATGCTAAAGCTCGGCGGAGGAAGCATCGGCGCAGCTTGAGTTCGCCGGTAGTCTCGCACCGGAGACTGGAGGCTTGCTTTGTGATTTTGATGTTTCCATCGGCTCCCAATGATAACTTCTGCTCGGACTTGTCGCCCAGGATCTCGTCGTGGCGGGAGATGCATTTCTCAGGAGCAATGTGCAGCACTTGTGCAGAATCCAGCATGGCCTGGACCCGGTCCACAAGGCCATGTCCAGGCTCTGTGTGGATATCCATCTCGAGGCCTTTAAGCTCGCCCCTTTGGCGTTTCAAGCGTGTCAAGCGTTCTGCCAACGGCATCTCGCGCGGGCTGCTCTCGCCCGTTCTCGAGGCTCTCGATTCCAAGTCCACCAGGGCATGTGCGTGGCTCTCGTACCACAATCTCCTGATCACCATATGTTGTTCCACCGGCACCTCGCTCCCAAGCAGAGTCTTCAGGGCCTCGAAGAGAGGCGCGTCATCCCCGCTCGAAGGTTTGCTTGAGCACACGAAAGCGAGCTTGCCGTAGGTGTCCAAGTTCTTGGCAGTGAGCTTGTTCAGAAGCTCCTCGCTGACGCCGATCTGCTTCGCTCGATCAGTGAAAGCAGGCACCGATTCAAGCCCAGCCATGAGACCTGGGCAGGTGAGGATACGAGTTTCGCAGGCTCACTCACGGCGAAGTCAACCGTGGGTCTGGTTTGTCTCGGATTCACACTTCCCTCGCCTCCGATCTCAGGAGGCCTGTCGGGGAGCCGGCGATCTCAACCGGCATCGCCCCATTTGTTTCTTTCATGTGCAGGCCGGCGAATGCAGCCGGCCACCGGGGTTTTTGCAAATTCCCAGGTCCCCAAACTGACTCCCGACAAGTTCAAGCCTGGGCACTCTGCAGGCTTCGCGGGAGAGCTCGACACTCTTGGCAACTCCCAGCCAAAAGACTGCGGACACTTCCCAGTCCGCTCTTGTGCTCGGAAACAAAACGCACGCACACCACTCTCAATCGGCCCGAGTACCTCATCTCAAAAGGCACAGGCACGACGACACCAGTCAGCAAACGGCCAGCTGAGCTCGTTCTCTTTTCTTCAGGCCGCGCATTGCTGGCAGACATTCTCCTGAGCCTCCTCGGGCCCCATTAGACGCAAGTTTGCAGTGACCTTACTACCGCACTTCAAAATTCCGGGACTGACTAACCGGTGCACCACTCCACTCAAGACATGCATGTAAGTCTCTCCCGAAAACGTGCAGCTCAGCCGAGGACGGACCTCCTCCGGGGCCGGGGCCCCCAGGTCCGCTTCGAGGTCGCCGAGGTTGGTTATGTCAGACCCGGCCTCGGAGATATTCTCCTCTTGAGGCTCTTCGGCTGGTAAATCCTCGGCCACCGTCTCTGGAAGATGTTCAAAATCGGACGGATCGCCATGCAGGGCTCTGGCAACCCTCTCAGCTCACGGGAGGTCAGGACTGAGCACCCCCCTACTCACAGCACTCACGACCTTGGCTACCTTCACGATGATCTCTGCAAGCGCATCCCTCGAGTACAGGAGAGCCATGCCGTGCTTTGGGCTGCAATGGTGCCCCTGGGTGAGGCGCTCCTCGTAGGTCATGGTCCCGCTCTTGGCCGTCCAAGACAAGGCTGTTGCTTTCAGGCTGTGCGAGCTGTACTGTTCAAGATCCCCCGCGAAACCCTGCAAGTGCAAAAACTCACGAAGCCACAAGGAACCTTCCGCAGCCGTCATGGCCCTTCCCAGAAAGTTCCCTCCCGGCGACATGGCCGGCATGATTACGGAACAGTCCGGTAGCCCTGCCAGGGCCCTCTTGCGCATCCAGACACGTCCCCATGAGGGCTGAGTAAGGCCGCTGCCCAGTGCAATCAAAGGCAACACGGTATCCTTTCGGTCCTTGGCCTTCGTCTTGTAATGCTTTGTCGAACACTCAAGAAGGACAAGCCCGTTACCTGCCACGTCAATGCACAAGTGGGTCCCTCGAGCCGCATCCGACCATCGAGCCGAGGAGTAGAGGCAGAAGAGAATGAACCCTGCTATGCTAGCCCTGGCATAATCCTCGGAGTCGTGGACGAATTCTTCCAAGAGCCGCACTGCCTCCACAGGAAGGGGCGGTGCTTGCCAGAGCGGCCGTTTGGCCATGGACATCGCCTTGGCTGCTCCCTGCACACGAGGGGAAATCCTGGAGCCTTGCGCAGCCCCTGTCAAGTGCACAAAGAACTTGTAGGCCTTGAGAAAAGCCTCGCCGGCAGTGGCTCCTGCTTTCTCTCGTCGCAAGTGAAGCATATAAGCATACAACTCGCCCTCGGAAGGCGCCAGAGGACGCCCTTTGCTAGCTACGATCCACTTGGCAAACCTGGAGAAGTCTGATGCCCGCTTCAACAATGTGCTGGCTGCTCTGCCGGAGAAAGTGTCCTCGATAATCGAGGTCAGCATGGCTTCTTCCACCAGGGAGCCTGCAGAGCCCAAGAGGTTCCTTCCGAGCTCCGAATCATCGGGAAAGAAAAGCACGATGAGCCGGATCTTCTTTAGTGCAGTAAGCCTAAGCATGTCGTCGCTTTTGGCAAACCTGGCTGCAAGAAGTCGCCTAGCCTCATAAGTTCCTTTGGGTACCCAGGCCCACGGCCCTGCTGCAGGGGCGGGAATCGCCGCCCTCCTCAGACCATCGAAACGACCCAGCATTGGCTCCTGGAACATGAAGCTGGGCCCCAACCTGGGCCTCATCACCCTTTCCCACGGCATCGCCAGACGAGAGTGCCTTGCAAGAATGAAACCTGAGTTCATTGCATACCAATCACCGGCGCTGCCGCCGAAGGCGGTAAAACCTGCAAGCTGCTGTTCTAATAGGTCCGCAGTCGGGTCGTCGTCAGGAGGAAGCTGCATGTCCTCGCGAGACATCAGGCTCCCCAGCTGTTCCTCGGTAAGATCATCACCCTCGGCAGGGCTGCTCATGAAAGCTGCCAAGGGACTCTGCACCGGTGAGCTCTCATGCACAGCCGAGTTTGGTGAAATTGGGCTGGCAGGCATGGCAGGCAGAGGCACTTGCTGACCCGATTCGACAGACGGGGCGACTGCCCCCACAGCCGGATAAAAAGCTTCAGCACTCATCCCCCGCAAAAGAAGCTAATCAGTCGCAGCGAAACACCTGATGCAAGCGTTGCACAAGTCTCGGCAACGACCTCAGGCAGAGGGAATGCTGGCACCTTGCCGCACCCCGGCCTTCAGGGCCGGACGAAAGTCCATCCGAACCCCGGCGGGGCTCTTGCACGACGCTCTAAGAGCAACACCGGTATACAGAGGACTCGGACCTGTTAGATGCAGGACTACAGGCCTCTAGAGAGCCCTCGAAAAATTTTTGGCAAACTCAGCCTTGAACACACCGCCGGGTGACATGATTCAAAATCGCACAAGCATCTACCGGAGCATCATGTGGGAAATCGTGATGCAAAATACAGCATCAAAAGAAAAAGCGATGCGAAAAACAGCATCAAACCACATGAGAAACGGAATCTGTTGAAGATCACGAAAAGCTAAAACGGTGGTTAAAACAAAGTCGGAGGAAAACTGCAAGTGCGCTTCGCCTTTGGCTTCGCTAGACCAGGATAAACATAACTGCGCTCCGCTCCGTGGGACAGTCATTGGATGACCCGGGGCGACCATCGGTGCTGTGCGCTTCACGCGCACCTGGACTCTGGGCCCTCTCATCCTCGCTGGTCACAATCGGGCGTGACTTTGTCTTTGGCCTCGCACCACGCACTGGGGTCGGTGGTGCAACCTCAGCGTTACCTGGCCCACGTGTGATATTCACTGTAACTCCACTCGGACGGTGCACAAAGCATCTCGTCGCGATCAGCAGGCACGCAAGAAAGACCACAACCTGCCAAACGCATGTGAAGGTTCCAGGGTACAGGTCGTAAGCTGCATAGACATAGCCCACAAACCGGATGACACAATTCAAGAATCGATCAAGAAAGTTTTCATCCTCATCATCGTTGTCATTGCCTGCATCTGCCTCTGCGCCTTTGCTTGCTGTCATCTGCAGGGCGCATAGCACAACGCTCAAGATGCGAGCCGTTCCACCTCCAAGATCACTCCGGCAAAGCTGCTGCAGGTCCTTGCACGTAGCACGAACCGCACTCATGTTCACATCAGCATCAATCTCCTCCTGGCCAACACGCGAGTTGCGGAAGTTGCACAGGCCAAGCAAGAAACGGACACGGTGAGGACTAAGCGATTTTGTTCCAAGATCACTCACATTGGTCCGTGTTGCAACCGCCGTCACGCGCAGCTTGTCCGCTGACACTCGCTCCTGGCACCATAGCATCTTTGCATCAAGATGTCGCACACGGCCTACGCCAGATCGCTGAAGAATGCTTCGTGCTGCAGCGTTGTCTATGAGGAGGTAAGGAGGCGTGGCCCCATCAGCAGAAATGAAGTTGTACATTGATGACATCAGCGTCCCATCGATGGCGCAAGAAACAGCACTGTTGAACTCAGCTTCGGCACTGCTAAGCGATATGCTCTTCTGAGTCCTAGAGTCTAGAGCTCGCATGGATCATGTGGGAATTCACCATGATCACAGCCGACGACACTGAACGACGGGTCCGGCGGTCGCCGGCCCAGTCGCTGTCGCTGAAACACTCAACCCATGGTTCTGGACCACAAGTCCTTGGCCGATCTGGCCAGCTTCAAGGCACACGCAAAACCCCGAAGTGAAAATAAGGTACCCAACCAAATGCCGTAACATCTTCCATGATCCTTGCGTTGGCGCGCTCATGAACTGGGACAGGTGGCGACTCGTGAACATTGCATCGGGAAGATCACTTTGCAAATAAAGAAGAATCCCTACCCCTGACCGGTACTTGAATGCCTGGTCTGCACTCAAGGCTGGGTCGTTCTCTGCATCAGTTGGGGGCTTCCCGCCCGGCAGGGGGGACTTACGGATTTTGGGATTACCACACAGCTCCTTAAGCTTGTCAAGATGTCTGGGACTTACCTCTTTCAACAACTCAGTTGACGACATCAAGTAGTGGCGCTTCTTCAAGAAGAAAATCTCATCCCCGGGCACAACAATGCGATGCACAGTCACCTTGCGAGATGATTCAAGCTCTGTTGTCATGTGCGTCATCACAGCAGTTGGCCCGGTCCCAAGCAAATCATCAACATGGATCAACCCAGCCCCGCCTCCGCTCGCAGCTGGATAACGGAAAAGGGCTGGAACCTCTGGCATAGGCTCGATTCGGCTGGCAAAACTGGTAAAACCAAGTCTGACTCCCTTCACGCTGTCCAGGGAGCAACCTCAACAGCCGAAAATAACGCTTGCTGCCACCTATCACCACACTTGTACACTGTACACGTGGGCTGCACTTGTGGGCAATTCAAATATGCATCTCCAATGTCAAGACTGACAAGCTGCCAACCAAGGTGGAAATTGGAAATGAAAAGAGATGGGATCACCTTGCTTCGCAACGCCGACGAAGCTGGGGAGTACAGGTCGCTCCTCCCAGGGTTGAGAAATGCATAATCACGCGCTACTAAGCGCGCTCTCCGCAACCAACACGGAGCACCGTTGACCGTCTTGCTGCGCCATGTCACGACAAACCTTGTGGAGAGATTGCGATGATCAGGCAGCGG